GGAAGCTGCCATATACGATTACCCAAAATTTACTGATATCGATAAGTTTGTAGAGACATTAGGTATTTTGGAAGCGGGAAAGATGAAATATATCCAACGCCTTCGCCAGGAATGGAACCACGGACCTCTGGAATACGCGCCCAGTGTGCAGACCACCACACCACGAAGTCATGCCAAGAAGGTGGAACAAATACCTTATAAGTTCATTATCAAGGTCCACATATTTTGAACTAGATCTTAAATTATTTGTTTCATAAATTAAAACTGTTTTATCAGCTTAATCTCTGACTTTAAGTTGTTAAAATGAATACACTAAACCCTCAGAGAGCGTGGATTTCTGAAATGCGATTTTACGTATACGAATGTATTCGAAGACTGTTCATTGTTCATTCATCAACACTATATCCTTGCTGGTATCAGCTCTGTCCAGAAGTTATCAACTATTTTAAACAACGAAGAAGTTACCAACGATCTATTGGGAAAAATGTCAAAGAAATCGTACAAATTACAAAAGAAAATGGTGGCGAAGGATTTTCAGTTATGAAAGAAGGAAAAGTATAAGAATTCATCCAGAAATGACGAATGTAGAATTAAATGATCTTATGACAGTAACCTACAGTAAACACAGTCATAATAAAGAAGATAAAGCATCTTTATTTTACAAGAAGTTAAAGATATATGTATTGTTAAAAAGGGCACAGGAACTGTCCAATTTTGCATTTGGAGAAGTCAAGCAACAAGAATCAGCGTTATATTTGTAAATTTTTTAAGACTAGTTTCAATGGTTTAACAATAGAACCATATAATAAGATAAGTTAAGAATAAGAAATAAAAGTAAGAACTAAAGAAAAAAAGACTAAGACAAGAAATTATCTATTTACCATATCGTTATGTCCTTCATTTTCCCTTTGGCAGCTGAGGAAGTTGGTTCTGTAGTTAAACCATCGGAACTAGTCCTGCAAAATTTACAAATATAACGCTGATTCATGTTGTTTAATTTCCTAATAATCATTCCAATTATCATTACCTCTGCGTTCGTCAAGGATTCGAATTGGCGACTTCTTTGGCGTGAAAACGTTGATACGGCAAATTCCCCGCTGGTTTTTGCTATCTACGCACGCACTTTTGTTGCTTTTTGTATAGCCCCATGCAATATTATATTTGATTTTATTTGAACTATTTTCTTAAACATTTTACAAGTGTACTTTGTAGGGTTTATATTTATTTTAAGTTTAAACTATCTTTCCTGTCAAGCCTTACTTTCCCCTGGAACTGCCAATGCCAGAGTCTGTAAATTTTAGTAGAACGCGCAAGGATTCAAATGATCAGCGGAAGTATTCTGAGTTAAATAGAAAGGAAACGAGTTCGAGATGTGCTGTTCTTACTTCACGAGCGCGGAGGTAGTTAGCCAGAAATTGAAGAACCCCGCATTTCGGCCTGTGTGCTTGCCTCGGAGAATTGTTAATCGTTCAACGTGATATTCAAAGTTTGCTGAATTACCAGCGGTATTGTAAAACGCGGTGAAGTTAGTTACTTTTAGAGAGCCTCGTAATTAGAGTCTTGTTATTATTTCTTTTCAGGTTCTTATTTTTATTTTACCGCCGGGTCGGCGTAGTTTGTGAGCGTCAAGAGCACGCCATTGTAATTTCTTAAGTTGAATAAAAAGGGACTTAAACCCTTAGCAAGACTCTGTCTATTTTCCAGTTTCAACACTCACCTCTTGGTTGCGTGCAGGGTGGAGGCGCGCAACTCTACAACTTAAATGATAAAATATTTATTATTGCTCTGGTCAGTATTATAGATTCTATTTCATTGATACTTTTCAGATTTTAATATTTTTCAACTATGGCTCGTCTATTAACACGCTACCCATAAAAATCATACTTCGTTGTTAATTCAGGTTTTATGTCTAATAAAAAAGAAACAATTTTTATCATTCTGTAGCCAAAATAATTACAGAAAATAAAAAAAACCTTAATAAAAACCTGCCGTACAAGCTTTGAGATAATTAATCCGCATTCTTCGATCTAGTCTTCTTCAGCTGGAATATGCAAATAAACCTTTACCACTCTCTGCTGTTGCGAACTTCATTTCAGAAATTGCTTGAGGATAAAGTTAATAGATTCCATGTATTTAGATAGTTTACTTAAAGAGTGTTTGTGGAATGGATTTCACAGCGAAAGTCAATTAACTCAACGCTTCTGTTCTTGTGAGTTCTCCCACGCTAAAATGTTCCAATCAAATTGCATGCAGATTATGCTTTGCGTTGGTTGAATAGAAAGATATTATGTTTTGCACATTTCAATCATGTTAAAATGTATGGAATTTCGCCAACACTGAAGAATGTAAGAAAGCCATACTCTAGCAATTAATTTTTGCTATTGAATGGGAAATATTATTAAGTTCATACGTAAAGAAGATGATGATTTATTAGCTGAAAGGTAAAAAGTGAAAAAAAAATTATGTTTTCGGCAGAACAAAGAGGACTAGAAACGGGGGCGATAATGAAGGAAAAATAAAAAAGTCTGAAAGGGTTCAAATTTTACAGGTTAACCTCTTTTAAACTTGTACAGACATTAGAGTATTTTGAAACAGGAGATGTAAAAAATGAGCACTGCCCTCGCCAGGACTGGAATCTGGACCTCCCGAATACGCGCTGTGCTACCGTTACGTCACGAAGGCATGCAAAAAAGAGGAAGAAAATACCTTATATACTCCCTCTTTTAAAGGGCGACTGGGGTAATGGCGATTAGTGGATCCAGTCGTCGAATCCTGGTGGTGAAGAATCATCATCCACCACCTTCTAGTTCGAGCACTATTGTAGTCATTAGGTTTTTACTAAAGCTAGTAACATGAAAAATGAGCAATGGCCTCTCCGGGACTCGAAAATTGAACTCTCGAATACGTGCCGAGTGTGCTAACCCTTACACCACGAAGGCATGCTAGAAGGAGGGAGAAAATACCTTATAAACTTGAATATGGTTTATCAGTAGAGATTACCAACAGAGGTGGCTCAGATGGAATACAGAAACGTTTTGAAGAATACTAGATAAGCAGACGTTTAGATGAACAGACGTGACACGATAAGCAGACATGGGAAACAGATAAACAGGCATGGGAACGTGATGTGTCTTCTGCATATTTCAAACGTGAAAAATATATAACGTTATTCTGCAAAAATATTTAATGTTTTTAATTATTCGAGATATCATAAATTAAATGCATTTTAATTTAAATTAGTCATATTAAAATGTAAAAAGTAATATTTTTAAAAACTGCATCTATTTTTTGTTAACCAATAATATACAAATTAAATTTGAAAAGTAAATATCTTACGTTTAGCCGAATGATAGCAGTCTCGAAAGAAAAATGAAAGAACGCATTTAGTGAATTAACCCAAAATCTTGTTTCGTAGACTAATATAGCCCTATTGGGCTAAAAACACTTACATTCTGAAAACTTCAAATTGCAACCCAACACCTCAAAAAGAATTTTCACATTCAATAAATCAAAATAATTCTCAAATTTTTTATGATTAAGTGGAACTAAACTATGGATAGGGCGGCTATTTCTGCCTTCTCTCTCAAATGGAGTTAAAAAATATAGATTAATTGTTGTAAATGGCAAATAACGAATACGTTGAGACAAAAAGGAATTTTACTTTCTAACTTTTCCTCCTTTTTATATATTAATTTTTATACATTAACATATTAAAAACAACTGAAATTCCGATTGAAAATTTTTATGTTTAACTCAAAAACTGTTGCTAGTTCTTTCTTTTATATTTTCCCTGAACTTTAATGCTTTTAGGGGAGTTGTAAGGTTTGTTGTGGGTAATCAGTTATTTTCTCTTAATTCTCTTCTGTACATTTTATTTTTTGTCATCTTCACCAGAAACAAAATTAAGTTTTGGATAAAACGTGGACTGGAAGTGCGAAATTAGATAATTTTCATACTAATCAACTCTGTGCCCGGCTGTTACAAATCGTTCTCCAGCAAAAGGCGATTTAATTTCTTTATGCGGATTTTTACGTAGGTGGAAGAAGATAAGTTAATGCCGAAGACTGATAGAAGGGATCTAAGTTAATATTCTTATAAATTAGTATTTTGTTTAATCTGCATTCTGCAAGTAGTGTTAGATAAGATTGTTAATTTTGAGTTTTAGTTCGTATGCGTAAAAATAGTAAGAAGTAACAGTTGACTTGCTATCTTGAAAAAGCTATTCTCATGCGTTATTACTCGTAATTGAATTATGATATAAGTTATGACAACGATAATTCGTCCAAGCATCGTAAATTTAGGCAGGGCAGAACAGGAACATGTTGCCCCGATGTACTACCTTCCCGTATTTATTGAGAATTAAACAAGGTGACATGCAATCATACAGATGTTATACATTTGGATATATATAACTGCATATTGTTACATTTGGTGATGGTAATTTTCATAGGTAGGTGAGATACAATAAAGTTCGTAATAATAATACAACAAACAGAACAATAAAATAAAAGAAATAGATACAATAAAATATCATAAAGATACATGGAGATACAATAAATATATATAATAAAGATATAATAAAAGATACAATAAAGATACAATAACAGATACAATAAAGATACAATAAATGATACAATAAAGTTCGATGTCAGTTGAAGTTCGCAATGACACGTTAGAAGTGTGTGTGGTGGAGATAATAATGGCACTCTGAAATTATTGCAGAATGAGAGGATTGAAGATTAAAGGTGGCACATATTGAGTCCTTGTCTGTGGAGGTAGTCGATGATGTTCTTTATCTGACTAAATGTTTTTCGGTGCTTGATTAGAAATCGCCTGAATTCTAGACCTGGGTTGCCTGGGTGACGAATATGGTGAGCAGACGTCATTGGACAGTTGAAGATATAGTTCTCTGGGTCTACGTTGCTTCCGCAAATACATCTGTCAGAGGAGGCTTTGTGTCTGTTGTAGAAGTAGAGTGGAAATGGGCTGTGGCCCGAGATTTACTGGGAAAGGAAATAGGATGTAAAAGTGATGTTTTCATCTACTTTAGGGAGGAATTCATATGTTCGTCTTCCTTGTTGTCCGTGGTCCCATTGATGTTGCCACTGTGCATTTGCAAGTTGTTTCAGCTTGCAATTCAACACTGTCTTTGGCCACGGGATAGAGATTAGAGTGCCTATTTGGTGGATAGCTGCGTCTTTTGCTAACAGGTCAGCGCGTTCACTTCCTGCACAAGCGCTGTGACCTCTAGTCGATGATATTATAAATTTGTTGTTGCTGTTGAATATTAAATCCTGAATTAGATATACAGTTGGTGAGTTTGGGAACTGTTGTTTGACAGCACAGATAGATGACTGGCTATCAGTACTCACATTTATGATGTCCGTATGTGTTGGTAGAAGTAGCTTGATAGAATTCACAATGGATCTAAGCTCAGCTTGGAATACGCTGTTTTCGTGTCTGAGGACACTTTGCCATTCAGTGTAGTTACTTGTCTCGGAATTTATATTGACTCCGCAGTCTACTTTGTCCTCTATCTTCGATCCATCAGTATATGCTGTGAATTTAGTAGATAGTGGAGGGTTGTTGAGGTTGCAGTGCAGGTTTTGTAGAAAGTTACTCGGGTGTCTAATGTATTTCCGGGGTGTATCCTCGTAGTCTTGTGGATTGAAGATGATATCATCGTAGCTTGCAGATTTCTTCAGCTGAAGAATTTTGGTATACAGTGCTTCAATTTCAGCTTGAAGTGGCAAAGGAGTCAAACCTGCTAGAACTTGTAGGGCGTTGGTGGAGGTTATTTTAAATGCACGAGTGATGTTAATTAAGAATGGACGCTGGATGGAATTGAAATTGCGAACTTTTCTGGCCGTCATTGGCATCGGCCAGATGGCAGTTCCATACATGATGATTTTATTTACGACTCTTGTTATCAGCATTTTCATAATATGGGAGTTGAGGCCCCAGGAGTAACCTCTCATTGACCTTAGTGCGTGTGCCATTTTGAGGGTTGTTAATTTTTTATCTTGGAGATGAGGTATCCAGGTAAATTTTTTATCTATAATTAAACCAAGATACTTGATAGTTTTGACGCATTTTAATCTATTTTGGCCAATTCGCAGGCTAGGATTCCTTGTTAATGTTTATCCAGGTTTATGAAAAATTAGTGCTTGGGATTTGATGTGTGAAATTTCTAGCAGGGATCTTGCAGAGGTCATTAAATAAGCTGAGCAGTTATCCTGGAGCTGGTCCCGCGTGATGCCTTGTACAATGAACGCTACATCGTCAGCAAAGGCGACAATTCTGATGTGGCTTGGCCAGTTGTGATCAATGATACTATTGAATGTAATGGGGTTCCAGAGGTCTGCGCTCATACACGATCCCTGAGGACATTCCTCTTTCTTGCTTTCTGGAGATTACAGTGTTGTTATGAACAATGGGCTGATTCTATTTTCTAGGTAGTCGATTGTCAAGAGGTACAGATTTCTTGGGCATTGCATCTCCCTAAGGGCTTGCCGTACAGCTGGCCACCGGAGAGAGTCGAATGCATTCTTTAAATACAGACACAGGAGGGCTGAGTGCATTTGGTTGCTTTTATTGCTATGAATTTGGGAGAGTGCAGCATCGACTGCATGGATAGTTGAGCTCTTAGGCTTAAAGCCATATTGATGCATACTGATTTTGTTGTCTTTGTATACGTGATGTTTGATTCTGTTGATCAGCAATCTTTTCAAGAGTTTTCCCATGACTGGTAATAGGTTTATGGGTCGGTACGAGTAAATGTCCTCTGGATTTTTGTTCGTTTTTGAAAAGGGGATAATCTGTTCTTCTTTATAGCCGTCCGGGAAACAGTGGAGTTTAAGAGTCCGGGAAACAGTGGAGTCCGGGAAACAGTGGAGTTTACATTTATTATAAAGGTTCAGAAGGATAGAAGGATTAACTTGGTATATGAGTTTTAGTATTTTGTTGTGAATACCATCTGAGCTCGGTGCCTTTTTACTGTCCAGTGCTTTGACTATATGTAGCAATTCATTCTTTGTGAAAGGTACATCGCCGTTTGAGTTGGTATATGCAGTTGACATTCTTATTTCCTGTTGTGTAAGGGTGTTTTGATCGGTGGGGTCTGGAAGAAAGACATAATCCAAAATGGTGTTAATGGTGATGTTAGTGATGCTATTATCGTAAGACGACTGAGCATTGGCTGAGGCGTGAAGCAGCGTCGGCTGAAAGATATTAGAAGTTGTCATTTTATAAAGTGCGCCGTACGCGTCAGTACTACGGCTGCAATAAGCATTCCATTATTTTAGTTTAGCCTCTAAGATTTGCTTTTTGTATAGTGCCCTTTGTCTATTATATTCAGACCGAGCAATTATTCTGTCGTCATTGTTTGTGCGCGTCTTTAGTCTTCTTCGTAAAAACTTGGTCTTTTGGCGAGCAGTCGTTAGATCCTTGGTCCACCAGTTGATATTAGTGGCGTTTGTAAGAGGTTTTAGTTTTAGTGAGGCATGACAGCAATCTTGAACAGTTTGAGTGAGAAATACTGCACATTTATTAGCATCTTCTTTGGTGTTTATCTGGGTAATGGTGTCTAAGAGGGAAAGAGTTTTAGATTCAAGACATTTTTTGAATTTTTTCTCTCCCTTGCTGTTGATCCGAAAACGTTTGATATGTGTGGTTTTGATCTGCATATTAATTTCAAAGGTGATGTGCTGATGATCTGATATTGATTCACCTGTACTAGGTTTTCGGTTTATGATGTTTTGGGTGAGTTGATGCGTACTTAGAGTGAGGTTTGATCAGTCTTTTCCGTTGATTGTGCAATAAAGGGGGGGGTCTTCTGGGTCATTGTGGAGAATGAGGTTATTTGAAAAGATGAAGTCTTCCATCTCCGTGCCTCTTGGAGTCGTATATGGATAGCCCAAGTGCTGCTTTGTGCATTGAAATCCCCATTTATTACGTGGGGGCTATTAGAGCTGTAGAGGATTTCTTGAATTACTTGAAGAGTGTCATTAAGGTCTTCAGAAATGATGCATAGGCGCTAGTTAGGTATAGTTGAGCATTTGTAGTGGTGACTGAGATGGTAACAACGTCGATGAGATTTTATAACTATTGGATGAGATTTCCTTGATTACAGTACTGTTTTTGTACAAATACAATATCATCATAGTATTCTGAGATATGTTGAATTAAATTATCTGTTGCAGTTTTTGAGCGCTGGATATTGATATGTAAGAATTTGATAGTGCTAGTATAATTAGAGTGGTAGAGGATTGTAGAAGGCTCGACTGCGATATTTGTTTCATTGTCTAGACTACTACTCATTGTATTGCGTTCGATTTTTGATTCTCTTGACTTCATCTATGTACGTTGGACAATAGTTTACATAAGCAGGATGATCATATGGATAGTTTGTTCCATTTTGTTTGTTGCTGAGTTCACAATTTATGCAATGAGGACTGTTAGATGGACATTCATTCTGTCGATTCTGCCGCCACAATATGCGCAGTGTGAGTGAAAGGTACAATCTTTGGAACGATGGCTAAAATCTTGGCAGTTGTAACATCTATGTGCACCAATGAATTCTGAGATTGAACTAGTATGCCATCCAATGTGAATGGTATGTAGATTCATGCATTTATGAGAGAGGTCAGCTGACATTCAATGATCCATTTAATAGTGTTAAATTTATCTTTGAGTTTGAACAGGGATCGAAAGTTGGTGATGTTGCTGTTCGTTGCTTTGGTTAATGTAGCACATACCATTTCTGCTGTTGTGTTTTGTGGAATATCATGAATTGTGCATTTAGGGGCCCTTAGTTTCGGTATTCTTGTGTGAATTAGGTTGCTAAGGAGCTCTGTATTGTTAAGCTGTTGAATTCCTTTACATCATTCTTTGAATTGCAGTATACTGCTAACCCACCTTGTTTAATTGGTACAATTTTCTTTATTTGGTTCTGAACATTTTCAATAGGCAGTATGTCTTGTAACTTTTCTTGAAGTTTTGAGACATTTCTGGCATCGTTTGCATAAATCAAGAGGACCGGTTGATTTTTTCTTTTGTTGCAAGACTTGTGCATATGAAGCTTTGTTGGTAGATGGTGCTGAGATGTCATAAGTCTTGTTGTTTTTGAAAGCATTAGCGTGATGCCAAGTTGACTGTTTGATTGGTGTATTGGTAGGTGATGTTGAAGCTTCATTAAATATGGGCGATATATGTTCATTTGCAGTATCAGTATGATTGGGTGTCGGTCTTGAGAGTCAAATCGTGGAGTTTATTAATAAAAGATTCATTAAAATTTACAAAATCTGAATTTTAAATTTCGAAATTCCAAATTCGGGTTTCCACGTTCGGTCGGAGGACTACATTATTCAAAATTGTAAGACTCTGTCGTTTTTATACAGTGCGTACATATGTGCAGATTCTTCATAAAGGGGGGGGGTCTTCTGGGTCATTGTGGAGAATGAGGTTATTTGAAAAGATGAAGTCTTCCATCTCCGTGCCTCTTGGAGTCGTATATGGATAGCCCAAGTGCTGCTTTGTGCATTGAAATCCCCATTTATTACGTGGGGGCTATTAGAGCTGTAGAGGATTTCTTGAATTACTTGAAGAGTGTCATTAAGGTCTTCAGAAAATGATGCATAGGCGCTAGTTAGGTATAGTTGAGCATTTGTAGTGGTGACTGAGATGGTAACAACGTCGCGATGAGATTTCCTTGATTACAGTACTGTTTTTGTACAAATACAATATCATCATAGTATTCTGAGATATGTTGAATTAAATTATCTGTTGCAGTTTTTGAGCGCTGGATATTGATATGTAAGAATTTGATAGTGCTAGTATAATTAGAGTGGTAGAGGATTGTAGAAGGCTCGACTGCGATATTTGTTTCATTGTCTAGACTACTACTCATTGTATTGCGTTCTTTAAAAAATAATACTAGGCGATGATATTTGGTGGCAACGCTTTGAAAAGTGATGTAAGAGTTTATAGTAGATGATGCAAAATTCCATTTCGAAACTAATAGCACATTCCGGCTAACCCCCTTTTGGGCTAATAATAAATCTGGAATAGAACATTATTTTTAAAATTCGTTCTAGTGATAAAATAAAATTTAGACCTTTTTAATTTTATTAAACTACAAGTAAAACATTTTTGTAATGGAGCAATCAATATAGTATATTTATAAATATCTGAAATTTTGAAGTACACTTATAAAATGTTATTTATATTCTAATCTTCAAAGCAATACTAGTTTCAATTTGTTTGAAAGAATTCAAACCTCATTATGAAATTCCCTCATTATGAAAAAGACTTTCTCTTTAATGTCGCAACATCAATTAATTGACTGTCACTTTCCTATTATCTGCCATTAGCCGCGCAAATATTTACGATGCATTATCTAATTGCCTTTGCCAAATACTTTTCTAACTTTCCTCTTATCTTTCTTTCACTTATTTTAAATGTCTGACTTTTGTCTTTGTTCAACAGCCTAGTAAATGTGTTTTTATTAAGTTGACTTTTCAAAATTAAATGCATGCGCAAGCGAACAGAAAAGTATTTCAGAGATAGATCCATTAGTAATTTAATTGTAACTTACAAAGGAAAAATTTAAAAGAATTCAGCGTCTTTCATAAAAACGTTGCTTTATGCATTAATAATTAAGGAAACTGAAATAATGTTTTGGCATCTTTGCAGATGTAATATGTTAAAATGAAGCCGTTTTAGTGTTATCAAGATATTAACCGGGCGAATAAATATCTCTATTAATTAGAATTGACATTATTTTCCGTAGAGGTTTGTGGTGCAAAATTATTTATATCATAAAATGCATATAATAAATCAGAATTATAGATTTTTTGTTATTTTTATGTAATACTAAACTTGAACAAAATGTTTTGCCATAAATAACGTTAATACAAAAATATTATTAACCCAAAAGGGGTTATCTCGAATGGGCTAGTCTCGAAACGGGATTTTGCGTCGTCCACTATTAATAACGAAT